TGGACACAAATTGTCAGAAGATTTGCGATTGGATTCAGAAATACAAACCGAAATAATTGTTATATTTATCGCACTTTTAATTAACTATTTTTTTCAATCATAGCTTAAAACAGTTTTAGTTTTATTTGAATTAAAACTTTAACGTAAATTAAATACATAATCAGATATAATTTGTAATTTTTTATTTCGATTCAATCCTATTATGAATTAAATTATTACTTCTTGTTATTAATTTTATATTTAGTTCATAAATAAAAAAATAAAAAATATTTAATCCATTATTTTATGGTCATATAATTTTATTATCATTGAAATTACTATTAATACAGTATATATTGGCTGCGAATAATTTAGCGGTATTTATTATTGTATAATTTGTATATAGCACACCATTTTATACTGTATTTGGCTAATTATGTTGTTAAAATACTTATAAATATGTTGATAACCTAGGTAAATGGCACTGTTATATAAAATTAGATTGAATTGTATGCGAAACAAAATGTTTAAGGATTACATTTTCTATCAATTACTCGACTAAATAGAGTTTAAAATATTATATTTTCGGTCTTTAGGATTATGCGGTCGTATGGACTCATCCAAAGACATGAACTGGGATTCAGTGCTATTCTCTATGAGTTCGTTCAAACCTAACATTTGATGTGGAATTGAAATAATTAATTGATAAGATTGTAACAAATATTATTTAATCCCTATAATTGATTGAATTGAGTACAAAACCCATTTGACATGATTATAAATAGGGAAATAGGAGTATATAATGGAATGCATTGACAATTTATATCACAATTAGTTATCATGAAATACTTTTCAATTGTATTCATTGCCTGTCTTTGCGTTGGCTTAACATTAGGTATGAATAAAATGAATGCAAAATAAGTTTTTAGATATTTAGTAAATTAAACATAAATTATTTCCAGTGGAAAGCCGTAAAGATTGTATCGCAAGAGAAGGCAAAAACACTGTATATTGTGTCTGTAATATCACTCATTGCGATGATTTGGATCCAGTGGTGAGACAACCGGCCGGAAAAGTACTGGTGTTTGAGACCAACAAAAGGGGTGATCGACTCAAACAACGAGAACTAAAAGTTTCCACAGAAAGCGCTCACATCTCTGAAGACAGTATTGTTTTAACAATTGATAAAAACACTAAATATCAGAAAATCATTGGTTTTGGCGGCGCTTTCACTGACGCGAGTGGTCTTAATCTGAATTCATTGCCGCCAGAGTTGGCCCAAAATGTTATTAAAGACTACTTCTCTGCCACTGGTATTGAGTACAGTATGGGTCGGGTGCCGATCGCCGGCGCCGACTTCTCTTCGCGTCCGTACACTTATAACGACCAAAAGGACGACTTCGAGCTCAAGACATTTCAACTACAGAAAGAGGACTTTGATTACAAAGTAATAAAATGCTATGAATTTGATTTTCACGATCAAAATGTTCACGTTTTTCATTATATTATAGATGCCATACATTAAATTAGCCCGAAGTGTGAGTCCACACAAACTAACCTTGTTTGCGAGTCCGTGGGGAGCGCCCGGTTGGATGAAAACCAATGGCCACCTGTATGGGGGCGGTCAGCTTATCGGCAATCCGGGTGAAAAGTATTACAAAACGTGGGCTAATTATTTCGTGAAGTAAGTGATAATGGATTCAATACATGCAAAGAATCGTATTGTAAAATACATGCATTAGATTCTTAGACGCGTACAAATCACATGGGATTGAGTTCTGGGGTCTGACCATCGAGAATGAGCCCGAAGTTGGATTTATTAAGGACTATAAATTCAATTGTTTGGCATTGAATGCAACCCTTGAGAGGGATTTCGTGAAACTAGATTTGGGACCCGCACTGACTCGAGCCGGTTATGGTAGGGATAAACTGAATCTCATCTTATTTGACGACTCGCGACAATATATGATCGATTGGTTGGACACGTGTTTCAGTGATAAGGAATCCGCTAAATATATTAATGGTATCAATGATTGCATATTCTGTTTATGTAATACTAATTTCTATAAACATTTGAATTGCCCGTAAAGGCATAGCCTATCACTGTTACGGTAATAGTTTTACAAATTGGGATATACTGGAAACTGTCCACCAAAGACATCCGGATCAGTTTGTAATATCGACCGAGTGCTGTCAGGCATTCAATATATTATCGCCGGGCACTGTCGTCAATTTGGGTGTTTGGGAACAAGCCGAGTTTTATACTAAAGATATCATGATGGTTGGTTTATACAAATAGTATTAATTATATAATAAAGTATTAAACCATTTTTGATTAACTCAAACAGAATTTACAACATTGGACTCGAGGTTGGGTTGAGTGGAATCTAGTGCTCGATATGTATGGTCAGCCAAATTGGGCTAAATATTCATCAGAAGCTCCACTTCTGGTCAACTCTACGGCCAAAGAGTATTACAAAGACTCAAAATTCTATATTTTGGGCCAATTCTCCAAATTCTTAGCACCAGATTCTCAGAGGGTTTCCATAAAAGCCGACAAAACTGTTAATGATTTCAATTCCGTGGCGTTTGTCAGACCCGACAACTCAACTGTTGTTATCGTCTATAATCTGAGCGATAATCCGACAAATTTGGTCATTAAAGACCAAAGTGTTGGACTCATTAACACCAAAATAGAAGCGCGTTCTCTACAGACATATATCTATTGGAATTAAAACATGTTTAATTATAAATGTGTAATGATTTGTTAAATAACATCAATATATAATTAGAATAAAAAGTATTGTAATTGAATTTTAACATTATGTTTTATCTAATCTCAAGTATTACTGTAAAATACATGTAAAATACTGTAGTTATTATGGCTTTAAACAAGATTAAAACGTAAAACATAAGTATTCTTATGTCAAAACTTCGTTATTTAGTTTAATTCAGTGATAAAATCTTATTTTCAGTTTTATTGAAATAAAAATAAAATGTGTGTTAAAATAGGTAAAGAATTAGATATTAAACTTGGTTTATACATGTAGAAATCTATGCTAAAAATCAACAAAAAATGTTATGTTTTCAATGTTAGCGATAAACTCAATGATTAATAAAACTAATGTTTTATAATTATAACATATTCTTTAAGAACTAGTTTGTAAAACCATATATAAAGGGAAAACTTTTCATATTTCATAAAAATAAATGTTTATAAAAATTTTGTATTTTACACAATTTAATTTATAATGTTTGAAAACTTTTTTGTTGTTTTACTTTTCGTTGTGTTTCAGCAAATACTTGGTTCCCATTATAACGAATGTAAGTTTTATTTGAATTCATTAAAACAAATCATAATAACAATCAAAACCCCGTATAATAGGGGAGAACAACAACAATAAACACGAGAACATTAGTCTAGTGTCAGTCGACGGCGATTATGAATGCGATCACAATTCATATTTTCAGTCCATCAGTAGATCACATGAATATAGACAACACATCTATTGCAACGAACTGTTCATTCAAATGCCAGAAAAGCAA